ACACTTTCTAAATTCAATTCATTACAAAAGTGATATTTTCAAAAAAGTAAGAGCTAAATAATGTGTCCAATACAATTTTCAAAAACGAAAGTGTAGGGCAATTTAAGATATAAAATATTGGAAACATCGACCTTTATGCTACCACGGTTTCTACTAGAATGGTTTCATCAGTCAACTGGGGACCGGCTGCCTGATGAAACCATTCTGGTGAAAACCGTGATAGTATAGAGGTCAATGTTTCCGATATTTTATATCTACTATATAATAAATGCGAATGTCAGTGTGTCACTGTGTCACACTTTTTCAAATTTACTTCTAGAGGCCGTAGCCCAACATATCATACCATTTTGGAATCAGACCGACTCCGTGAACAAATTAAAAACACTCCGGGCCGGATCTGGACTCGCAATTCTGAAAATTTGGATTCCCAAGTTTTCATTACTGCGATTGTTTTCAGATTCCGCCATCTTGCTTTCACTGATGAAAACAATTAAAGGGGCGCAACTCTGTAACTTTCAATAGCTCATGTTAAAATTTAAAAAATCACTGTTCTCAAATTACAGTGTTTCAAAATAAAATTGTCCGTATATTCAACTTTACTTCTAGAGGCCGTAGCCCAACATACCATACCATTTTGGAATCAGGCCGACTCCGTGAACAAATTAAAATCATTTTGGGCCGGATTCGGATCCCAAATCCTGAAAATTTGGATTCCCAAGTTTTCATTACTGCGATTGGTTTAGGCGATTTTTACCTGATTCTTTGCTTTAAATTTTCTTGTACTATAATAATTTTTATAAGTTGGATATAAATTTGGGAATTTTGAAATCAACTGCGAAATGAAATAAAACTAATTGTTTGTACGGGAAGCATAGGATCTACGTTTGTCTTCAAATTAAGTGGCGTCAGAAGAATTATTTTAAAAGGTAAGCTTAAATGCAATACATAAATGCAGCGATCAGTTTTACCTTCTTCTGTAGTTTATTACTGCATTACTCCTCCCTACCTATTGTGATGAAGGTTCAATCAAGAGATCACCGAAGGAGCTAGCTTAAATGCCACCAGAGACGGCGGTTTTTAAGTTAGTATATCATACTTATTATAAAACCCAGCTTGTGTGTGTGTGTATCTGTTTGTTTATATATGGGATCGGATTTCCTACATTTTTCAACCGATTTCAACAAAACTTCACAGGACTATGTAAAATTACCTTGCGGTGGTTCTGACAGCGTCAAAAATTGGAAAAACACAATTGTTTTTGCACGAAATCAATTTGAAAACACGATTAAGAGACATCACTGTCGCCAGAATGAAAGAGAGACAACTCGTATCGAGTTATACTTATTATAAAACCCAGGTTGTTTGTGCGTGTGTGTGTTCGTTTATATATGGGATCGGATTTCCAAAATTTTTCAACCGATTTCAACAAAACTTCACTTTTTTTTTTGGCAGGTAGTATTTCTTATTGTCTTGCACACTTTTTCTTTATTTTTACATTCAGAATGCTTTAAAAGTTCTATTTACAAAACAATTGTTTATAATAAAATTCTATTCAATCGGTAGACTCATAACGATTGAAAACAATGTTTTTGTTTGAGTTTGGGTTTGACCAATTCGTAAAAAAAAATGATTAAGACATACGTGTCCGTCAACCTTAAACAATAATCTTGTCAATTTTATTTTTCAGTTTTTATGATGGTCGATACTTGATTTATCTCCTACTGTTACATCCCCGGGAAACGGCGGGCTCTACTGCTAATATATATATATATATATATATATATATATATATATATATATATATATAGTCGGCTCTCCCGTCAAGATTCGACGTATGATGGTCAAGCAGATCAGTTTCCAGGAAACCGACAGCCCGACGCCGGCACATGAGATTTGATTATAGTGGTGAAGGCCTCGTGCAGGACCATCCACACTTTTTGAAGGGCCGAATACAGAGACCTGGTGCACTAAGTGCCACAAGGTTCCCAAACGACCCTCCACAGGTTTTGAATTCAGAGATGTCCTTCTCCTAGACCAGTTGCCATCCAAGGCTATAGAACCCAGTCTATCCTGTTATTTTACCCATAGTTGGAGGGAGTGGAAGAGGATTCATACTATTCCCAAGGGTATTAGCACGTAAGTTAATGTAATGGATTCGACTGGGAATATATATATATATATATATATATCAAATGACAATTGAAAAAAAATCATACATTTTGCCGACGCGTTTCGTCTTCCGACTTTTTCAAGGCAAAAATGAAATCGAAATGTTTTTGTTGTTATAGTTACATTAAAATTCAAAATTAAAAAGATAGACGATAGATTCGTCTGGGAATTTAACTATATTGTCGACATGGAAAAAAAAATAATAATAATCCCTTACTATAAAGGTAATTTACATTAACCAGAAAAAAAGGCTTAGACACAAGCGTCTATCTTTTTTAATTTTGAATTTTAATGTAACTATAACAACAAAAAACATATCGATTTCATTTTTTGCCTTGAAAAAGTCGGAAGACGAAACGCGTCGGCAAAATGTGATTTTTTTTCCAATTGTCATTTGATACCAATCTGTCTTGTCCACAGAATTCATCTGGGAATTTAACTATATATATATATATATATATATATATATATATATATATTGTGTGTGTATGTGTATTTAGGCAGCATTTTTTCATTGATGCATGTTTCATTAAATAACATAAACAAGTTTTGTCTATTTATTTTAAGTAAATTCCTTTTCGCTCTCGCGTGGTCATGTGTGATGTCACGAGCTGCGCGTCTCGTATACACGAGTTTGTCGTTGCTTGGAAATCTTCCATGCAAACAAAAAGAGACTCTTATTATTGTTTTGTCCGTGTAATGTTTAATATATTGTAATGTAATTGTCATCTTTGATGGCTTATGTAAGGCGAAAGCTTAGATAGGATTTAAAAACATGTATCAATATGATGACTGATCCAAAGACACATAGGTGTAGTGAAAGTTTTTTTGTTTTTTTAATTTCCGAATTTAAGTTAAGTACTGACAGAAAACTCATAAGAAACAAAGTAAAAATACTGCCCAATTTCCATATTTCTATATATATTAGCAAATGCTGGATGATCTCTTCAAATATGAAGAAAATCTTGAAGATCCATAGATGTAGTTCTACCACAGAAGGCTGAGAATTTTATGAAGTGAACATATGAGAAATGAAGATGTTTTCAGTGCCGATAACAGTTATGCTAACCGCACGTCCTTTCTTTTATATATTTTCAAATACGCCACTAATTCTCGGTTTCTATAAAAAAAACGTTACAAGTACAGGTAATATTTCCCAGTTTTTTTATTTATATTTTTTTTAATCATTTCACCTCCAAGCAAGGCGATAATGTCACTAAGACGCAAATGGTTACTGAGAATGAAAGAGAATGAGATGACTTTAAAAGAAACCGGAAACCCAATCCTAAACAGGAAACAAGGGATAAACCTCTACTCCTGTTCAAAAGACCAGGGAGGAGTGTGAACCGGATGATAGGTGAACCTACCTACTGCTAGTGTAGAAAGAAAAATAATCAGGTTAGAAGACACATCCTTGCCTTTTTTTATCAATTCACCCCAAGAAAGATGACAACAACACTAAGATGGAAGGGGGTTAATGAAAGTGAAAGAAAATGAGAAGACTTTAGAAGAAACTGGAAACCCTATCCTAAACAGGAAACAAGGGATAAACCTCTACTCCTGTTCAGTAGACGGGTAAGATGTGCGGACCGGGCGATAGGTGAACCATCTAATTGTAATAACCTAAAATTTTATTCACACAAATCAACAAGAATCGTATTAAGAAATCCAGTTGTTAGAATAGTTTTCTCTATCAAATACTTTTAAATAAACTCAGATATAATTCTTAAAAGCAAAGTGAAACAAAAAATATCAGCGCTCAGTCTTCAAAACCATTGAACGAAACAAACAAAGGAATGGCTCCGCCAATGTCTCCTCACAGACAGAAGATAAAAACTTACCTGCCTCCCATCGGTATGGCTGATACTCGCTTCCATGAGAGTGACTTGTGCGCCTTCTCCGGCTTACATTCTCGGCTGACATGAAGTCGAAAGACTAGATCTGCTGCTAAGAAAATTGGTTCCCTCTGCCGTGCTTGACAAATTTTCTCTCCTGAATCTAACTTACCTATTTATAAGTCTACCATTCGTCTATGCCTTCAGTATTGCTGCACATCTGGTTCGGTGCTCTTGCTGTATATCTAGAGATTCTTGATAAAATCCAAAGAAGAATCAGCAATATTATTGGTCCTGACCTAGCGTCTCGGCTTCAGTCACTTTCCCACCTCCGTGATGTAGCTTCGTTGTGCCTTTTCTATAAATACTTCCATGGTAATTTTTCGAATGAACTTTTCGCTATGGTACCTAGATTATGAATTGGCTAGATGTAACCGTAAGTTCTATGCTAACAGTTTCTTTTCTAGCAATTCTCCCTTGTAGAACTCTCTTCCCGATCCATGCTTTCCAGACAAGTTGGATCTTCAAAAATATAAATGCAATGTCAATCGTTATCTACTGTCGTCTTGTTCGTTCTTTTTCTTTTTTTTTTGTTTTGACAAATGAAAATAATAAAAAAAATATTGTAATAATAAACATCTTAGGAAAACTACTATCGAAATGAAATATATATTTGTTTACAGTAAGGTTCACCAAGTACAAAGCCTGGGGGGGTTACTCGAGGTAGAGGGTTACGTTTAGGGGGTAGTTTATATGAAGGGGAAGATGACGGTTGACTCTAGAGTTTTAAACAGGGCAGGGGTTCGCGGCAAGAAGTTGCTCGAATGAAACTTATTTCTCACCGATGGAATACGGAGAGAATGTGGGTGGTTTACTACTACGTAAAATGGCATGATGGGTCCTGGCTGTGAAGGTTTGCCACAGCGGAACCAAGGAATATAGTTCGTCCGAGCAATTTCACTAGAAATAGCGATAGAACAGTTAGAGACTCTCCACATCCCGCCTGAGAGAGAAAGAGAGAGAGAGATATAGATAGATAGAGATATATAGATGTATAGATAGATAGATAGATAGATAGATAGATAGATAGATAGATAGATAGTGATATATAGATGTATAGATAGATAGAGATATACAGATATATATATATATATATATATAGATAGATAGATAGATAGATAGAGATATATAGATAGATAGATAGATAGATAGATAGATAGATATAGATAGATAGAGATAGTGTTATAGTGGAACGCACCTATTCTATAGTTAATAGACTCTCCCACCTATAATAAGTAGTAGTAATAGTAACGAGCAGTCGCTCAGTGGGTCAGTCAGTCGATGTCGGACGACAGTTAGTCGGATACTAAAGTATCAGCGACCGCAACTAGATTTCTCTGCGTCACTACCTATCATATCAAGGTCCTAACGTTTTGTACGTCGAACCTATTTTAGGACCGACTTAGTACAAATACAAAACTCCACTGTGAAACCACTTCATAACAGATAGATAGATAGAAGGGTAGAAAATAATTCTTCTTCAAGGACACAACTCTTGTAAAGGTAAAGATTAGCATGAGGAGTGAGGTGGAGTATATGTTTTGATTATAGTGATTTAGGGCTACAATTATTATGTATAAAATGTTCAGACGAACGTATTCTTATAATTCCACCAGTTCAGGCTTTTCTCTTAAAACACACCACAATACTTTCACAGATCCGAACCGTCGTCGTATCCCAAATGTAAAGAGAAAGTTCCACTCAGACAGCTTTTCTCCAAATCTATTACTTTATAGAACAGATTCCTGCGTGGATGCTTTCTTTAAAAACCACGATCTTAACTTTTTCAAGTCAAGGATTAATTGTTACTTATCCACCTGTTGTCATAATATTCACTTCCTAACAACTACAGTTTCATTCATAACACCGGTTTCCGTACGATCACCGAAGTTAAGCAACGTCGATCCTGATCAGTACCTAGATGGGTTACCATTTAGGAATACCAGTTGCTGTAAGCTAAGGTGTACGGAATTGTTAATCAGAGTTCCAGTTCAAGTTGGGTTTGTTATATTCACTTACGTGAAAATACCCTTGGGGAATGTATGAATCCATCACTTCTCCCCAACTACGGGTTAATTAGTAAGACTTGTATCATTAAATCATTATTATCTCCAATTAAATTCTTACAATCTAAAATATTTCCTGGTTTCAAATCATTTGCAAAGGGTTTATAAGCTGTAGAAAATGAATCAGTCAATCTTTCATTCATATTTACACATCATTCATCATAACCCTTTTAACAGTAATCCTCTATCTTGACAGGTTCTCCAGTCTTGTATTATTTGAACTGTACTATAAAAAATGACGAGAACATAACTAGACTAGTACTTATAGTTGTGGGTATTTGAATACAAGAAAATGGATACGTAGTTACTAAAACATAGTTCACTTTAGATAGTGTATACAATGTTTTTGCTTTAATTATCTATTTTATATCTGTTGTGTTATCCTAAGAGGGTTCTTGGACATTAATGACTTTTGTAAACAAGGTAGTTTCAAGGAAGTAATCAAGTAGATTAGATTTGTTCTAGTCCGTTTCTGAAAGTTAAAAATAAGATTGTTGCTTGCCACTTGCAAGCGGAAGACCACTACATGTCCATCTCTGTATTCGAGTGAGTCGACCTGTTCCATGCGTTCATCCATGGTCAGCGAGCCCGACGCTCCCGACAAACTGATCGCCGGCTAGGGTTCGCTTTCGAATCGGGAGTCTACTAAATCGAAACAATTCCGGTATAATGATATTTTCTTATTCAAGTATGGTAAGCTTTCATGCCGTCTAAATGGCTAGATTCTTCGTATTCTTGTAGTTGCCTGTCTAAAGGGACTAAGCTGGAAAATGTCGATGAAAAGAGGCACTTTGCTTTTGACATGCCAAACATTGTTTCGACCTGCAAACGATAAGATGTCCTGGATAGTTATGTCCTGAAGGGACACAACACAAAAATGAAAAACAAAAACGTGGAAGTATATACCGTGGAACAAAAATGGATTGAAACGTATCTTTGAATTTCAGATAGACAGACCAAAGCGGCTAAACTGTTTTGAGGGAAGTTCCACCTAGGTAAGCTTTATTACAACGAACAAGATTTTCCAAACTCTTAATTTAGGCTTACATTTTCTAGAACAAGGAGTTTCATGACTGAACATTATTCCTTTTTTAATTTTAAATCCCAATCACCCTTTTTTATCTCGCCACACGTTCAGCTTAAAATTCTTTCGTTTGCCCTGTCAGGCTACATTTTTGTGCGTAAAATTTTAGATTTTTATTTTGTTTTTATTATTCTTTACCCCAATCTCATTGTTTCTTTTCTTTTATCTTTTACTTTCTTTGCCATTACCCCTTTCTTTCTTTCTTTCTTTCTTTCTTTCTTTCTTTCTTTCTTTGACTTTTATTCTTTTTATGAAGCGCATTTATTGTTTTATTTTATATTTCTTTACCATCAACTTTTTCTTTCTTTCTTTCTTTCTTTCTTTCTTTCTTTCTTTCTTTCTTTCTTTCTTCTCTTTTTATCTTCCGCATTTCTCTCTTTTCTTTCATTTTTCCTTCTTTCTATCTTTCAGAATTCTCTCTTTCTTTGTTAAATTTTTCTTTCTATCTTTCGCAATTTTCTCTTTTTTCTTTAATTTTCTTTCTGTTTTTATAATTCTCTCTTTTTTGCTTTAAATTTTCATTCTTTCTAACTTTTGCAATTCTTTCTCTCTCTTTCTTTCTTTCTCTCTTTCTTTCTTTCTACGCAACGTTTTTTCTCTTAAATAAAATCTTCAAAATCTCTTAAAAGAAAAGCCTTTATTCAAATAAGGAAAAATACTAACGAATTCAAAAAAAAAAAAAAGAGAATGAAAGAACGATTATCACCCAACTGGAAAGACAAATCTCTTCCAGTTCAGTACAAATGATTTCTGTTCTCCCACTCGCAAAAAAGAAAACTATGCGACTATTGTGTAATCCGAGATTTTCGTTAATTACAGACAATGTCAACTCCTTCAAGAGCATTAAACAAACGACAGAAATATTTGGCAATTTTCCCAAAAATGCCAATATGTTAAAGCTATCGAAATGCTTCAGTCTCAGTTGACATGTTGTAAGAACATTGTTTATTCTATGTTTCTTAGTCTTTTCTATCTGTCTTCCTTTCTAACTATTTGAATCTAAGTTGCCTCACTATTTACTGATAGTTAAGCAATGCTTACTTGCAAAACCTTACTGTAGTCGTGAGTCAGATTGCCAACGATTACTCAGACGTTTTGTCACACGAGTCTTAGAAGACTTTTGCTTGAATATTTGATATAAAGAATCATATTCATTTACATTGTATGCATTCGGACCGTTGGTTTCGAAAAGGACCTCCCATCAATGGTTAGCTGGTAGCAGAAAATAGTTTGTCAATTGTAATGCCACCAAAACGAAACTACTCTCATTTAACCACCATAGAGAAACTTCCCAGTCCCCTGTTGATGCTCGACTTCGCAAGAGCGTCTCACTGAGCCTTCTTGGTCTCACGTTTTCTACTCACTTGAGGTGGAACAACTATTGAATAAATAGCTGCATCTACCACAAAGAAAGTTCGATGTCTGTGTCGTGCCAAAAGTTTTTTTTTCTCGTCTGAGTCCATCCTGCACATCTACAAATCTACCATTTGTCTATGCATTGAATACTGTTGCCATATATGGACTGGTACACTTGCTAGTCATCTCGATGTCCTTGACAAAATCCAAAGATGGATCTGTACTGTCGTTGATCCTAACTTGGCATCTCGACTCCAGTCACATTCTCACAGACGTGATCTGGCTTCCCTCTGTCTTTTCTACAAATATTTTCACGGCATCTGCTCTGACAAGCTATTTTCCCTAATGCCCTGACTACGTGAATTTAAGCTTTCTTCTAGGTTGGCAACTAAATATTCGTTCTTTGACAGGATTCGAACCTGCATCCTATACGGAACCGTCATTTACGCTGTCAAAGAACGAATATTTTCTATGAAAATTTCTCGGACATTCAGGCCGGTAAATGTTATTTAATACTGTTTATCATAAACAGAGCATTTACTTAAAATACTTGTATCTATAAAAAACAACGTTAAACATAAAAATGTCTTTAATATATACTTATATATATATATTATATATATATACTTAAATATATATACTCATATTTATATATATATATATACTTATATATATATTTATATATATATACTTAAATATATATATTTATATATATATATACTTATATATATATATATATATACTGAAATATATGTGTGTGTGTGTAGAAATGTATATATATATAAATACTGAATTTATGTTAAATTTATGGTCTAGATATTCAAGTCTGAATAAAGGAAATGGGACTTTTGGTATCCCTCGTATAGGAACCCACCCTCAGGGCCCGGTATGCTTTAGGCTGCTTAACTACAGAAGAATTTCACAGCTAAGCAAATTTCAATTACCCGTTTTAAAAAAAAATCACCTCTCTCGTTGGGCTATTTTGAATAGGGTGACTGGGAAGAGAGAGATAGAGAGAGAGAGAAAGAGAGAGAGAGAGAAAGAGAGAGAGAGAAAGAGAGAGAGAGATGTACAATGTTTGACTGTGACCGAAAAAGGCACTGACATTCAATAAAAGTTAATTATAATGAGGCATAGCGTGTGTATCCCTGGCTGGGTACAAAACCCATATTCGCGTTGCATACGAGTGCAGCTAAGGAATGGCGTCATATCAAATGATAGCTGTATCAAGAAATGATAAAACCGTCATCATAGACAAATAGAAAGATACACAGATGAAATGTTCTTTTTTAAATCATTTCACTCCATGCAAGACGACAAAATCACTATGAAGCAAAGGACTTACTGAGGGTGAGAGAATAGCAGAAAAAAAAAGACATTAAAGAGAGAACAATAAAAGAACAAGGATTAAGAAGAACATAACGATTGACGTTGCGTTAATTTTTTTGAAAAGCAAAGTTGACTGAAAAGCAAGGACCCAGAAGCGAAAAGAAGCTAGTAGTATTATAAGCAGCTACAAAGTAATAATTGTAAACGTGTCCTGAAAGAGGCCAAGTCTTTGCTGATAGAATGAGGCACCGTTATAAGATCTTGCAAGTTTGATTCTCATGTCTACTGGTGGCTCTGTAACAGCGTGGTAAATAAGAGCAAGTCTTCTATCCCTCCTCTATTCGCTCAGTTTGGGGGTGTTAATATTTTCACTGATAAAGCAGAATATCTTGCTCGTAAATGCCCCCTCTTTACTCATTTGGGGGTATTTTGCCTGACTTTCTATATAGAACTGAGTCTCTATTGAGTGACATGCATATAACTCCATCCATGGTTTCTGCTATTGTAGTGGACCGTGGCTGAGATGTTGTTGAGTAGAAGTAGAAGAAACATGTGGGGTTCAGATTTCCCTGCTGGCTGGTCCAACTACACAAGAAAGTTGGACTTTTAATTAAGTCCAAAGAAGAAGGCAAAGAAAAACAAACAAAACACAAGACCTATAATATATGTATACAAATATATATATTAATAACAGGTTACATAGTAACAGTTACAAAAGGTCAAAGTGTGTGTAAATATTACATATGTGCGTTTGTATGCGTGTGTATTGTGCTTAGCGTGTTCCCAGCATTTTGGGAAACGCTATCTCTGGTGAGCATTCACATTTTCGAGGTGGTAAGACTGGAAGCCTGAGGAAAAAGAGAGATTTACCTCAAGGTGTCGGCGCACAGGCCTGAGGGAAAAAGAGAAAGAGGCGAAGGGTCAGCGGCTATTTATAGCCAGGGAAGAGAGACCCCTGGTGAAAGGGTTAACGAACTAAAGGAGGAGTTAACTCCGACACTATCATCTCTAAACTGGATCCCCACAAAGCATATCGACTAGATGGTATCCCTGTAATATTCATGAAGAAATGTGCTCCCGAACTGGATACTGTTCTTCTGTAATATATACTTTGCTGCTTCTTGCTTTCCTGCTTGTTGGAAATCCCTTTTCTGTAGTTCCAGTCTTTAAGAACTCAGGCAAAGCGTCTAATTCTTCTATCGACCTATCAACCTTCTAACTCTAATTGTACCTAAGTATTAGAGGCTCTAATCAACTATGATTTGGTTAAGTAATTCACCTTGCAGTGTCTTCTTTCGGATAAGCAATGTGGCTTTCGTTTCTCTGCTGATGTATTAACGATTATTGGAAGTGAGGAAAAAATATAAAATATGAAAAATAAAACCAGAAACCATTTAAAATTAATAAAGACTTTATTAAATACTGTGTGCCCAGTCCATGGAAAGGAAATTACAAATCATTCAAAATATAAGTTCAGAAAGAGAAAAAATGAAAGGAAACAAAAAACAAAACGATTGTAAAAAGATCACGATTTTGGTTTGGGTTGGTTTGATTTGTTTTACGGCATATCAACCACAATGGGTTATCTAATGTCGACAAAATTTTCTTTTTTTTAAAAAAAATGTATAGCTGGTAACAATTTTTTTTTAAATGTATAGTTTTGTGGCATATTAACCTCAATGGGTTATTTAATGCTGACAAGATTTTTATTTCTGTTAATATTTTCTTTTTTTTAAATATTTATTGCTGATACTAATTTGTTTAAAGTATTTCTGGCATTAAAAACTATTTTTACACTTTCATAGTGTTTTGAGTCAGGTTGTGGGGTCAACTATTTGCCCATAGCTGGGACCCTAACAGATGCTATCAACCCGGATTAGGATGGACCAGGGAACACCAGCGATTAAGAGATGGTTCCACGCTCCTCAAAAACTTCTGATCAGAGGCCTTGCTGCTGTTTAGCCTCTATAGCCCATAGGAATCCCTTTTTCCTGGCTTGTTCCGAACTTAACAGACACCTATTTGTGTCTGCTCATAATAACAGTAAACGTGACTTGAAAGAGGCTAAGACTATTTGCTGAGAGAATGAGGCACCATATAATCTCTTGCAAGTTGGGTTATCCTGTCTATTGGTGGCTAGTAGTGTACTAAATATGAGTAAGTTTTCTATCCTTCTTCTCTTCACTCAATTTGAGGTGTTAACATCTTCTGCTGATGAAGCAGAATGCTTTGCTCGTAAATTCTCTTCCCATTCTATTCTTGATTCATCTGGAGAATCTTTACCTAACTTTCCACTTCTTTTTTTATTGTATTTACACCTAGCAAGGAAATAAAGCCACTAAGACGCAAGAGTTTACTGGATGTGGAAGTATTAGAAAACAGAAACATTAATAAGGAGCGAGAACAAAAGAAGAGTAATCAGGAGGAGAGGAGATAGCGATTGGCATTGCATTTTAATTTTTGCAGATTAAGGTTGACGGGAAAGCATGGAGCCTGAAAGAAGTTTAACAAGCGAGAAGTGCGTGAAAAGAAACTGTTAACATAGAACTTACGGTTACATCTTTTCTTTTTCTTTTTTCTTTAATGTGCCGTGTCCTTTCAGGACGTAGGCGATTATGGCTCTCCACTTCCTCTATCTCTTGTAACTCTCAATAAGTTTCTTACCTCTGCCGCCTCCCCCAGACCACTTACTTAAGCCCGCCAGGTATGTTATGCATTGCTTTCCCTTGTCTCTCTTTCCCTCTATTTGACTTGTGACTATCAGATTCTCCTGGCCCTCCTTTCTCATTACGAGTCACAGAAACTTCAGCTGCCTCTTCCTGGTGTTTATAAGCCTCCTCCTTGTTTGCACCATCCTCTCCAAGACCTCATCGTTGCTCACACGCTCGGTCCATGATATCCTCAGCATCTTTCTGTAGAACCACATCTCGAGTCTCTTCTTCATCTTTGAGAAGACCGTCCAACATTCGCAGGCGTACAGGAGGATAGATATCACGTAAACAGGTCAGTACTCTTTTCGTTGTTACCAAAGAGGTCCTCCCGTCTCTCAATACTTTGCCCAATTTTTGGAATGCGTCCTTGGCCATTCCAATTCGTCTACGGATCTCAGTGTCGCACTTGTTTGGTTTTATTGTCCCTGATCTGCAAATCGCAATTTGGTTACATCTAGTGAATTCAAAAGTAAATTGATGAGACCGTGTCGCCTATCTAATAATACGGTTAAAATCATAATATCTAGGTGACATAGCGAAGAGCTCATCTGAACAATTACCATGAAAATATTTAGAGAAGAGGCACAGGGAGGCAACATTAAGGCGGTAGAAAAGAAACTGAAGCCGAGACGCCAGATCAGGACCAATAATATTGCTGATTCTTTTTTGGATGTTATCAAGGATCTCTAGATATACAGCAGAAGCACCGGATCATATGCGGCAGCAATATTCGAAACAGGGACGAATGGTAGACCTATAGATATGTAAGATAGATTCTGATGAGGGAAAATTGTCTAGCACGCCATAGCCAACCAACTTTCTTAGCAGCTGATCTAGCAATGGATTCAGGTCAGCTGAGAATGTTAAACCGAAAAGGCGCCTGAGTCGATACTAAGTGATATCAATATAACTCCGTCCATAGTTTCTGCCTTCATAGGAATATTTTTTCACAGTGTATTGTAGATAGTATGACTGTAGTTTTGGTCATGGAGTCGCCAATTGACTTGTAGTTGCGTGTTCAAATCCAGTCGGAGTCTACCAGTTATAAGAGAATTCGATTACCAGTTTACTAGACCGCTGTTATGTTGAAAAATGATATTTTCTTGTTCTTGCAGGGAGATAGGTATATGTATGTGATACATTTGTTTTGTTTTTTTTTTGGCGGCATATCAACTTCTTATGGGTCATTTAATGCCGAAATTTACCGTAACTGATATTGTGTAACGTACGATATTTATTTTAAATATAGCAGTACGTTTTGACGACAGTAAATGGATATATAGTTCAGTCAACGTCGTAGACAGGGCCAGCAGTACATATGCTAATTTTATATCTCATGTATGATGGGACCCCCTTAAAATTATCTTCAAAATTAGGTCTTCAAAAGTCGTATGATACGCGGTAATTTTGAGGAAGCATTTTAATTCCTTTTACAAAAAATCTATTACTCGTAATTTTTTTCATTTTACATGTATTGCTGGTAATTTTTTAACTCTGAAAATTTATTACTGGTATTTTTACTATAAAATATATTTTTATACGTTCATACTGTTTTGACTTCAGTTTGAGGACTAACTATTTGCCCAGGTGAACCTGGAAACAACAGCAATTAAGGGGTTGTTCCACGCTCCTTAAAACCTCACGCTCAGACGCCTTGCTGCAGGATGTAATTTATCGTCATACCCAAGACGTGTTATACGTTGGAGTGGAAACATTTTTTTTTCGAACATAGCATAGAGATAATACTGCGTTGTATACGATGCGACACATGGTTCGCTGGGGATGAAGAAGTCCCCCAAATGGGAAACGTGGCACGTCTTGTCTCGATGGCCTCTTGCGATTGAAGAGTGAAAGAAGTGATAACTTTGTATACTTTCCTTTCATACTGCTTTATACAACGCCGCCAAGTGGACTTTAAATTGGCAGACAAGGAGAGGCCACTCTACAACAACAATTCCATCTAACAGGCAGATCCCAGACAAACTGTAGGATAGATTCAGATTGATTCTCCCTTTTGACGAAATCAGGCCAGTTCAGTGTACACATACCAGTCTCTGTGCTCATGTT